AACAAGCATGTCTTAGTTAAACATAATAGGCTGGACGTTTTGACCTTCCCAGGATTTACATTGACCTTGCCGTTGTTCTCTCTTCATACATATTATAATTATCAGGAGTAAATTATGATAATAATCACACATTTGTAATTATTACCCCGACTATTATGTATAGGCACATTACAAGCGCAAGTTCAATCATTTATATAATCATATAAATCATTATATCATCCAATCATTTATATATCTAGTGTAATAATTGAAGAAACAGACGCAACGGAGCAACTGTGAAACCGCGAACAGACGTCATCACTTGTGACGTCATCACCTTTGCCGCTCGCTGATTGGTCGCTTCATTAGCTGCTACCTGTTTCCCACTAACGAAGAGGAGTAAACAGGAAACCACTCTGATATGCTGGGCCTGACTCGCATAGTCGCAATCATTGAGCAGATATATAGCTGTCTATTAAATCTGTAGAGTAGCAATACTAATATAGCACATGCGTGGGTGGGGGGGGGGGTACGTACGATCTTCTAATTACTATTCCGTTCGGCTCACATCTGGCTGTCCTAGTTAGATTTAGATCCACGGTATTTTCTAGCGAGTTAACAGACGGTTGCGCAACCCCGAATGAAGCTCACTTCGCGGTTATTACTCGCATGGCTTACACTATAAAGCTTAATCTGATTACTAAGAATCTGAAATCTTCGCGTACATACCTGGGTAATATATTTGCCGCATTACATACAAAAATTTATGATGCTGAAACGAACGTATGACCACATGGCGTGGCATTATGCCACGACTACTCTATTGACAATGCTCTCTATCCCGCAGGCAGCGATAGAGAAATGTCATCACTTATAATTGAAATCGTATTAAAAATCTTAGTTAGGGCCATATTAGTATTCTAAGATATTCATCGGAGAACCAAGCGGTGAATGATTTTTCACGTGATGAAACACATTGGCCCGATTTTTACAATAGTGTAAAATACAGTGCCAGCATCATAAATAATGAAGACTCGTATTTATTTATAACATGGCAGTACCTAAAATAATCGTTGTCGAACTATCATACGAAGCAGCGCAAAATCAAGCACCGATTGCGTAACAGATGCCTGATTCCACCATCGACAGACTCCCATACGGCACTTTCCCAAAAGTCACCTTATCCTGTAACCGAATTGACAGCCTGCCACTGGTCAAAAGACTGTCTCTACATTAATTCCTGAGCGGAATCTGTCCTCGTACTGACCATCTACACAGCACTTATACGCCCTATTGCCGCGCCGGGGCTTGTGCCAGCACTTGGAAGCCGGTGGCCAACACATTTCCGCGCTATCCCGCGGCGTGTAGACGACCACGCGATTCTCCAGAGCGCCGAGGTGAGAATCGATCACTGTAAGTGATTTCAAAACTCGTGCGAAGCATACAAACACAAATGACGTGTATCCAAGGTGAATCGGTTTCAGCACATGATGTGTCAGAATTGGGCAAATCTCTCCTCTCTCTTTCCTCTCTCTTTCTCGCTCTCCTCTCTATAATATTAATATTAATTTAAATTATTAATATATATATTTATCCTATATATTGTATATATATATTTATATATACTATATATCAAGCAGCTCAATAACAACCTCTCGGAGGGCGGAAACAGAACGCCTACGCGGATTGTCGCTGTGGAGAAACGCAACACACAATATGGATGGAACCGCCCTGTACACGCACCCTGTCGGAGCCTCACTACAGCATTACATCGCTACATTATCCGAAAAGCATACGTATATATATATATAACGCTCTCATAGAGGCGAGCCATCACATGGCTTCTTTCAGGGTGGGGGGCAGGACCAGCAGAGGTAAATTTTTTGTAGCAAGGCAAATGTTGTGAGTAAGAACATAGGAGCGGAATCGAGCCAATAGGCCGGCAGTGGGGTATCGGGCCCGCTTAGGCCCCATATTGCTTAATGGTAGGCTACGGCCCTCTGGGCTATACATACCATTGGCTTCCTCTAAGGTAAACGCGGCAACATTGCTTTCTTCGATTCGGACACGAACCCGGGAGTGCTACAGTGAGCACCACCGTTTTCTTCTAAGGGGGGAGGGGGGAGGGGGAGGGGTTTCATATTTACAAGGGGCCACCCACACATTGATCCGCACGATGAAAGCTAATACCAGATATCAAGAGACGTGATACGCCCCACTGCTTCAAAAGACCCACATCCGCCTTGCACGGTTTCTGGATCAACGTACTTTTACGAGAGTAATGAAATAATATAAGTCGGGTGGCAGCAATAATAGAGTAGGCGTATAGTGCAATATGCGAATTTATTTCGTCATTAAGATTGGGCAAGTTTGTTTTTGATTCTGTATTGATCGTGAAATGGATGTTTTACAAGCGCCTAGGACGGCTACACTTCGCATATTGAAGATACTTCCCCAACAATTCAAACAAAGATCGTCCTAGTAGATCTCGTCTCTCTCCTCTCACCTCTTCTTCGCCATAGTCTCCTCTCTCTCTCGTCTCTCTCTACTAGCTCTCTCTCTCTCTCTCTCTCCCTCTCTTCTCGTCTCATCCTCTCTCTCGTCTGTCTCGATCTCTCATCTCTCTCTCGTCTCCTCTCTCCTCTCTCTCTCATTTCTCTCGTCGACACTCTCGTCGCCTCAGTCTCTTCTCTCTCCCTCTCGTTCTGTCCCTTCTCCTTCTCTCTCTCTCTCTCTCTCATCGTCTCTCTCTCTCGTCTCCTCTCTCTCTCATCCTCTCTCTCTCTCTCATCATTCTCTGCTCGCATCTCTCTTCTCCCCCTCGTCTCTCTCTCTCTTCTCTCTCTCTCTTCTTTCCTCTCTCGTCTCTCTCCACCATCTCTCTCGCTTCCTCTCTCTCTCTCGTCTCTCTCTCTTCTCTTCTCTCTCCGTCTCTTCCTCTCCCGTCTCACTCTCATGCTCTCTC